ACTGGGGTAGGCAAAGACTTCTTAAGCAATACTCGCAAAGCACAGGTGATAATCCCCAAAATAGACAGGTTAAGGAATTTCTGCACAGCAAAGGACTCAGTAATTAGTGTGAATCGACACCCCTTGGAATGGGAGAGAATTTTTACTAACTGCCTCAGATAAGGGACTGGTAACCAGAATACACAGAAGAAAATGATTAACTCAATTAAAAGATGGGAAAATGAGCTGAATAAACAACTCTCTAAGGAAGACATATGAACAGCCAAAAAGCATATGAAAAAATGCTCAACGTCCTTCATCAAAACCACAATGAGATACCACCTAACCCCAGTCAGACTGGTGAAGATTAAAAAACAAATAGTGATAAGTGCTGGAGGAGATGTGGTGAAAGGGGAATACTCCTACACTGTTGGTGGGAATGTAAATTGGTCCAGCCACTATGGAGAAAGATTACACAATATGGAGGTTCCTCAAAGACCTTCAAATAGAACTACCATATGATCCAGCAATTCCACTCCTGGACCCAAAGGACAGGAGAGCACTCGGTCAGGAAAGTGCTTGCACAACTATCATAATTGCAGCAGAATTCACAATTGCTAAGACTTAGAATCAACCCAAATATCCACAAACTGATAAATGGATTGAAAAATTGTAGCATATATACTCCATGGAATACTATTCAGCCATAAAAAAACAACAAAGTCCTGCAATTTGATAGAAAGTGGACGAAAATAGAATATATGTTGCTGAGTGAAACAAATCAGGCTATGAAAGAGAAACAATGTATGTCTCCACTTAACATACAGACTGTCCACACTCTATGACAGAGACTGATAGACTGGAGAACATAAAAGTATTAAAAATTGTAATGGACACTAGAGACAAAGTGGAAAGAGAGTGTGGGAGGGGAAGAGTATAGGAAAGGAAATTTGTGGGGAAAATGGAGAGGTAAGACACTTGTTGGGACACTTATAGATAAGGTTTATTATCTGTTGATGGGTATGTGTTTAATAGTCTCAACTGTGCTGGACTGAAGTGTAAATCATGCTGGGTAAAGTCTCTTCACAATCTAAATGATGTATAGCGATTTAATGTACAAATAATAAAACAAACAAATAAAACAAACACACAAACAGAAACATGGGAAGCTCTGTGTCTGTGGGAAGGACTTGTCAACTGTAGGCTCCATGATATTTGAGAATTTGACCAAGCTATTATGTTGGGGAACCTCCAATATTAATGTCCTTAAGTCTTTGTCTTTGGCAGATCAGATTAGCAAGTGAGGACTCTTTCCTATTGAAGGGTGAATGCTTGGCTACCAATATTCTAGGGAGAGAGAGTTGATATCTCATTGCTTCAATACAGTACACTGTTCTCAACTGTGCCTGGTGTTCAAAGCCCAGAGAGTCTCCTTTTTAACCTCAGGGTATGGGGAAGTAGTTCCCTTGCCATTGGAGGTGGGGAAGAAATCTATAATCCATTTCTTTCTTTTTTGAGAGACTTTTACTATAGGGCATGTGCACTCGCAGGAAAGACAGAGAGAGAAAGAGAGAGAGAGAAAACAAGAAGTCACCCCCCGGTGGGGGGGGGATGGCCACGCCACAATCCCTTCTCCTCCAGTCTCCTCTCAGGATCTTGGGCACATATGCACATGCACCCAGCGTGAGATTAAGCCACCGGGTCTGGGACTCGAACTGTGGTTGACTGCACAGGAGTCCAGTGACATAGCCATTACGCCAACCGCTGGTCTCTATAATCCATTTCTTATACAAACTTTCAATTAATCCCCCTATTCTCTTTTTCTTTCTTTCTTTAATGTCAGACGGTGCATGTGCATAAGAGAGGGAGAGACAGCACACTCATTCCCCCCACCCCACCAAGGGGCTAGTGCTAGTCATATGACATTCCTTTTCTCCAATTTCCATCCCATCAGGATCGTAGGCACAAGTGCATATGTCTGGTGTGTTTTTCAAGCTGCCAGGTTTGGGACTCAACCCCTGGTTGATCATATAGGACCCAGCTCCTTCTGCACAGTGCTAAACTGCTGTGCCAGGGGTCAGTCCAAATCTTCTTGTCTTCAATCTACCTTTACACTCACCTCTAAAGGTATGAGAATGTGTCAAGTCCTAGTCTCAGGAATTCTGCAATTTAAATCAGTTTGTTGTGGTTTTTCTTTACTACTGATTTAGAAAGCAGCTTCTTGGGTCTGCTAGGTTAGTTTTTATTCATCATTAGGCTTTCCAGCTTTTAAACTATTATTGCCATCAGTTCTCCTATTCTCTTTGCTTTTCTAGGTTTATGCCATTAACAAAACAAAAGCTAAAACCCTCAGTATTGTTTTAGTAGGGTTTCAGGAAGAAGCAGAAGTGACTGTATTCACCAACACCCCACCCCCCACCCCCACCCCCAACTTTAAGTGCAGTCTTAGTTACTTTAAAGTTCACCAATGATGAAGTATTTTTCTTTTAATCTTAATAGACAACCTTCTGTTGGAACATCCTTGGGTATGAAGGACAGTATATCTATGTAGGTTATATGCAAGGGCTGGTTATATGCAGGAATGAATTAAAAATATCAAACAACTAGCATGGTATTTGAGTACAAATACTGATGCCTGATGACTGCCTTATTATTACTGAGTATAGGGTGGAGGAAACCATTTGAAGCGAAGACAAACACCTCATGGATTGGAGTGCTCTGTAAGGTTCTGCTGTGAAGCACAGTTTTTTTCTTGTCCTTGACCCTGTGCCTTGAATATAAATGTTGGTCTTAAGAGGGGGAATGGTTGTACCATGCAAGAGGTGGCTAAGTCTCTGATGTGAGATGAATTCCAACAGAGTGAGACTGATAAAGAATACAGCAAATACAAAAAAGACATAGGTAGTTGTTGTTGTTGCTAGTAAGTCACCCCGGACTGTGGATTCTCAGCTGAGGGTTGGAGGGATAATAGGAGAAAAGACACAACCTTTAAAGAAAGCTGCTCACCCTGTTCCCTGGGAGTATGTTTTCATTTTTTTTCAATTTAAAAGAAAATATTGTAACATAGATTTAGAGATGAGAGTAAGTAAAATGGGAGGACACGTTGAGCATCCCATGTATTTATGAATGAGCACTGTTGGTGATGATGTTGTAAGTATTCCTTTTTAATACTGTGTAAGCCAGACCAACACACAGGAATTCCCCGATTTCCTCTATTTCTCTCTTTTTGTTTTATTTACTTTTTTTTTTTTTTGCCAGAGTCCACGTGTGAATTTCAGACAGAGAGAGAGAGAGACAGAGAGGGAAAGGGAGAAACACTCTCCCCATGGAGTGTGGTCACACTGCAATCCTTTTTCCTCCATTTCTCCATTCCTTCAGGATTTGGGGTATGACAAACACACAAGCTGAGCATGTTTTTCAAGCGATGGGGTCTGGGATTCAAACCACAGTCAGCCATGTGGGATCTAGCTCCCCATGCACAAGGCATAACTGCTAAGCCATAGGCAGTCCTCCTAATTTCTATTCTAGAAAATCAAACAGATGTTTTCCTGTGGTCTAGGAGCTTTAGATTTTAACATATAAAGAGTTCATAGACTCACACTCAAAATGCACTGTTGATAATAGAAATGGTAATTCAGACTAGCCAATTAGGCCAGTTAATGAGAGAAAGATTTACTTTACATAATGATAATATTTAATTTCATAGTAATTCCAGATAATATATTTGGAATGAAAAAATCACCACTTGCAACCACTAGTGAAATAACTGATTCAGATGAATATCATTAACAGATGCCAAAACCATTAATTAAAAGGGGGCAGGGAACTGGGTATTCATAGGTGCTAAAATAGTGTACATAGAAGACTGACATCACCAAGAGAAGGCATTCCATTTATAATGGAGTTTCTTGTTCAATCAGATAATTGAACATCAGATATTGATGACAGTGAGACAGACATGGATCCTGATGTGACAGAATATGAAAACACAGTATTATATAAAATATACTTGACAAAAATGTGTACCCTGAATCTAATTAAGCTTTTAGCTCTAAATTTCATCTTAGAGGACAAGGGGTAGAAGCATTAACTGGTACTGAATTAAGATGATAGATATATAGATGTTCAATTATTTTATTTTTCTATTTGTTTGAAAATTTTATATTAAGAAGTTTAGGAAAACAGCTCACAGATGCAAAATTGCATAAGCCTGGCCTGATGGTTTGGGGAAGAGCATTTGCATTGGACAGACAGAAAGATGAGTTCTCAGTGCAGTGGGGTGAGATAGCCATTCGTTCCAACGTTTATGAGCTTTTTGGAAGAGTTAATGTATTTCTAAGAGTGACCAAGTAATTGTCAGGAATAATTTACTCACCCGTAAGATTGGATTGAATAATTCATTTTACAACTACAATGAAAATAAGCATATGATTGGTTGTTTGTTTTTTTTTTTTGAGAGATTTTTGCTATAGGGTGCATGCGCTCACCAGACAGACAGAGAGAGACAGAGAGACAGAAAGCGAGAAATCACCCCCCAGGGGGGATGGCCACGCCACAATCCCTTCTCTTCCAGTCTCCTCTCGGGATCTTGGGCACACACGCACACACGCCCGGTGTGAGTTTAAGTCACCGGGTCTGGGACTCAAACCGTGGTCGACTACATGGGAGTCCAGCGACATAGCCATTACACTAACTACTGGTCCCTGATTGGTTGTTGTTAACTGGGTTCTTTCTCCCCAAATTAAGTCACCTAAAATTACCTCCTTACATGAGTTTTGGGGGTGTATTTCCTCCTATCTTTTTTCTCTTCTTTGCTTCCTTTCTCTTCCCTCCCTTTCTTCCTCCTAATTCTTTCTCCAGATAATATGAAGAGATTTTCCTATCCACTCAGGCACAGATGTGGAGTAACAGTCAAAACAAAATATTGCTTCCTGCAATACTTAATTGTTCTTAAAATATGGGTGTTGCATGAGAAGTATTTCCTGTCCCACTCAGTTTCTCTGTTTCTGACCTGATTTCAGGGAGCTGGACTGTGCCATGTTACGCCGCCTGGAGAAGCGGATTCTGGTTGATCTTCCCAGCCGTGAAGCCAGGCAGGCCATGATCCACCACTGGCTGCCCCCTGTGAGCAAGAGCCAGGCCCTGGAGCTGCGCACTGAGCTGGAGTACAATGTGCTGAGCCAGGTAGGCTGCCCTGGAAGGAGGCGTGTGCAGGCTGAGGGTCACTGCATGATGATCCTCTAAATGGGGTCTTGTTAAGGTCCACCTCTGTAAGACACGTAGGAAAGACCTATTGCCCCAGCAATGCAATGGGCTTCTTGTCACTTGGAAATACTAAAGTGGAGAAGCACAATGTGATACCGTGGAAATAGCTCAGGGTTTAGGTTCTGGATGCCCATGGTCAGATCCTGACCATGCTACTTATTAGCTATAACCTTAAGGAAGTCACTCTCTGAGCCTCAGCATCTCCATTTGTAAAATGGGTAGCCTATGAATCACAAATGAGTATTGAGATGATTAAATGAAAGCCTTTCACAGAAACTCTCTAGCTACATGTCTCTTTCCCCCATTATCACTGGTATCCATTCCCAGAGTGTTTTGGGTGAACCTTGAACATGGTATTTTCTGAGGTTCCTAAAGATCTTATAAGAACAAAAGTTTGATCATCCTTGGATTTAGGTCCAAGGCCCTATTAGGTTAACATGGGTGGTCTAGTCCTTTACCAGCATCTTACAACATATTTGGGTGGTATTAGGAAGTTGTTTATTGCTAAGTTACCTAGGTCATCCACCACGTTAGTATCTCTTCCTCAAGTGTTCTTTATCTGGGAATCTGAGAATAGTGTTCATGGATTATAGACACAGAATCTAAACAGGGGTTCTGCCTATAAGAATACAATAGCCCTCAGCAGTTGTCTGCTGATCAATGGCTGGGCTTGCGGCTCTTGCAGGAGACTGAGGGCTACTCGGGCTCAGACATTAAACTAGTCTGCAGGGAAGCAGCCATGCGGCCTGTGAGGAAGATCTTCAATGCACTTGAAAACCACCAGTCAGGTATGAATGGGGTCATAGAGAAGGTGGACTCAGAGAAAAATTTGCGTTTAAAAGTCCAGCTCTCACCAGCAGATGGAGCCTCGAGCCTGTTTTTGGTGGCCTTTTATGCTCACAACACATCTTTGGTCAAGTCATTCCTTACGGGCTCAACTCATCTCTCCTTTGGTATTCTGTTTTGGATTTACTTTGCCCACAGATGATAAACTCCTTAGGGCTCAGGCTTTTATGTCTCTGGCACATGCTCATGTTGGGCTGAATCCCTTTGAGGCACTATTAAATAATACTTTGATAACAATATGTTTAATCTGAGGCACTATATAAATATTAAATAATACTTTGATAACAATATGTTTAAGTCACTTTTTTTTTTTCCGGGAGGGAGTCTGGCCTTCAGAGACTAACTCAGTTGCACATTAAAGAATTTTTTCCCCAGCCCTCTTTAGTCTTGCTTTTTGCTGCATTAACCATTAAGAATGCTGCATTATGCATTGTTTTGAAGGAAGGTCTATTAGCATTTCAAGAGCATTGATCACCACAAGGTCAATGGTGCTTCGTGCTGTTACCATTGTGTTTTTATCTAGAGAGCAGCAATTTACCTGGGATCCAGCTGGATACGGTGACCACTGCTGACTTTTTGGACGTGCTAGCTCATACCAAGCCTTCAGCAAAGAACCTGACCCAGAGATACTCAGCCTGGCAAAGAGAGTTTGAATCTGTCTGAAATCATATTACCCGGGCCTGCAGAGGCCTCCTAGTTTATTAATATAGGTGGGAGAAGAACCTGACTGAAACGAAAACAGGAAATCATTCTTGAAGACTGGATTCATTTGGTATTGTTTTGGAAATTTGAGACATTTTTATTAACTTTTCATGATAGATGTCAGAACAATATTAAAGATTTCAGTGACATGCATATGTGCTGTTCGGTCATGCCAGAGATTTTTGTCACAGTTAGACTGTATAAAATTTTGATGAACAACTTCCTAGAGTGTTCATTTGTCAACTGGTATCTTCATTTTGACGAATAAGATGTAGCTAGAAAATTTGTGTTGGCCACACACTCTTGTTTATTTGTTTGTTTGATTTTTGAGGCCCTAAGCGGAAATGGCAATTAGAAGCTAAGTTTGACAGATGTGTGACCAGGTGACAGTCCAAGGTAGGTAAGAATGGGAACAGTGAAGGAAATGCAGTCTATTTCTCATTCTTTTATTTATTTATTTATTTATTTTTTTTTTTTTAAGTTTTTTTCTGCCATAGAAGAGAGGGAGAAGGAGTAACTCAGTGGGGTCTTCACACCACAGTCCACCCTAGCCTCAGTCAGCCAGGATCATGGGCACATGCATGTCTGGTGTGCGCCAGGAGACCTTGGGACACAACCTGCAGGGTTTCCCATGTGACCTCAGCATCACAAAGCTTGGTGTTACTGTGCCACCACAGCTGGCCTGTTTCCTGTGCTTGGCAGTATTCTGAATCCCATCAGCTCTTCCTAATTTCGACCCAACCAGCTTCATCTGCGGCAAACCCCTACCAAAGTAGGTTCCACTCAGAAATATTACTGAGAATTTTGAGTCTAGAGCTAATAGTGCGACAGCACAACGTCACCACCTGCTTCTAGTTTGAGAATCTTGAGTTCTGGCCCCTACTTTATCTTCTGATTCTTTTCACATCTCACATCTTGAGTGTCCCGGCCTTTCTCTTTCAAAGCCACAGCTGCTTATTGGAGCTAAAGCTTAGGATGGGGCATCAGAGTTTCTAGAAGACTTGTCCTAAATCTTCCCAGCTTTTTGGCTCCTTCTCGTCTCCTTCTGGGGTTATAAACAGCTAGAAGCCTCTCTCAATCTAAGACACCTACTTCCAACTCCTGATAAATTTTGAAGCTGTCCACTGAGTCATGCCACTCCCCCACCCCCATCCCACTAGAACTTACCCTTGGCAAGTTATCGTCTTTTCTTTTCTTAATCACTTTGGGCAGACGTCTCAAAACAAGAAAAACTGCCAGGAAAAGGAGACATTTTGGATTGCTAACTGTTACTAAGGGTTTTACCCTTTTAAGCAGAATCAAACCTTTTCTGTTTTTTAAGTAATTATTTATTTAATTTTAATTTCACCAGAGACAGAGAAAGAGCAGGCAGGACTCAAACCACAGTTGACCATATGAGAGTCCAGTTCCCTAAACATCATGCCACCTGCCAGCCCCAAGCTTTTTTTTTTTAATTGATTATTTTAACTGGAATATTCTCAAATGCCTTTGACAACATTTCATTAAAAATGTAATCAAATAAAAAATATAGTAGTCCTCCTTTATCCACATATCGTTTGAGATGACCAATGGATGCCTGAAACTGCAGATAATACTGAACACAATGTAGACTATGTTTTTTTTTTCCTAGACATACATATTTGTGATCAAGTTTAATTTATAAATGAGGAACAGTAAGAGATTAGCAACAATAACTAATAAGCAAGATACTGTAATAAAGTTTAAGTGAATGTGATCTTTCTCTATGTACCTTTTTTTTAAAAAGGATTTTGCCTTAAAGCACGTGTGCTCCAAAGAGAGAGAGACAGACACAGTGAGAGGAAATGTGAGAAATCACCCCCAGGGGGGGTGACCACACCACAATTCCTGTTCCTCCATTTTCCTCCTGGAATCTTGGGCATGCATGCACATGTGCCTGATGTAATTTTGAAGCCACCGGATCAGGGTCTAGGGCCCAAACCACAGTTGGCCATGTGGGAGTCCAGCAACGTAACTGCTATGCCATCTGCTGGTCCCTTTCTCTATTTTACTGTACTGTACTCCCCTATTTTTGGACAGCAGTTGAACACAGGTAACCAAAATTGCAGAAATGAAATGATAGATAGGGGGAGACTACTGTATACCTTATACAACAAATTTAAAATAAAGGGATTCCATCTGCATATACACTAAACTTAAACTTGATGAGCACTAGGTACTGTACTCCTTGACATCAATGACTCTCTGGGAACACAAGACTCTAAACAGAATGGCCTCAAATCACTGTACTGTTCTAGTGTCAACATTTGCTTTGTGCTTTTGGGGACTATCTTTGTCATACTGTCAGCTGACAGGTATTTCTTGTATCTATTAGTCCACTTGCTTATAGTCACTACCATCTTTTACAATCTCTTAAAATCTTGACTGGATGAAACGGCAATGATTGCCGTTAATGGTTAGAAAGCAGGAAAGTTGGTGCTGTATGCGTGCACCTAAGAGTGAACACGTAAAAGAGCAGGGGAGATGCCCCTGTGGATAGCATGCTTGGTGACCATCCACTTGTGCCCTGGTAGCTTACTGCTTGTTCCTGACCTCATTCAGCTGAGTGCCATCTTGCCATCCCTCCCAGAAGATCTACCTAACCTTCCATTCCAAAACCTCGAAGCCTAGCATGTGCCTGACTATGCGCTATTCCTCTTAAGTACTGCCAAGCCCATCTTTTCGATACTGCCATTCTTCTCCAATCACATGTTCAATCCTCCTTTCCCTTGGCATTTGTCTCCAAATACTCATGCATGTACATGTTTTCATCACCCAGGTGGCTTCTTTGTCAGTTTTATACATTATCTAATAACTTCTGTTGCTTTGAATGAAATGAAACATAGCTGTTTCATCTGTCTGCCTTATCCCTACCACAATTACATCTTTCCCAAAATAGTTACATGATTTTAGATGAACTCAATTGGTATTTTTATTATTGCTGTACATTGTTCATTACAGAGCCAATAGTCAATTAGGATGACATTTCGTGTTGTTTTGGAACTAATAACTGCTTTATTTTTTTCATTACCTTAATTTTCTTTTTCTTTCTTTCTTTTTTAAAAGACAGGGTCTTACCAAATCACAATCTTCCTGCCTCCACTTCCCAGCTGGGATTAGAAGCAGGTGCCATCATGCCTGGCCTTCTGGGGAAGTGGGAATAGAACCTGGGCCTCTCACATTGTCTCAGCCTTTGGAGCATAGCTTCTTAGCTGGGACCACTGATTTAATTGTATAAATATCTAGTCTTATTATATTTTGCAACATATTCTGAGATCTGTCAGTATCCATCAGTAATCTTTTCCAAATGGCCAAACATATCAGATAAAACTTTCAATTCCCTTCCCCCACCCTTGGTTCTAGTGTTCTAAGGAGGGGACCAGAGGCCTATTCCTATACCTCATTTGGGTCGTCATCAGCCACTTTTCATGACCATACCTACCTACAGTAAAGCCAGTTTTGCTGTTCGCTTTGTTTTTCATCATGTATCGATGTGAAGCAAGCAGATGTGTGCCTAATTCATTTCCAGCCCTGCATCTCTCCCTGGCTCACCACTCTGCCCATTGTCCCTGAGGCCTTACTTCCATGGTTCCATTCTTCCAGAGTGGAAGACATCCATTCCCCTGCTTTGGTAGTCATCTGGCTGCTCCTGGTGGGGAAGGGTTCTGGGCTCCGTTCATTCTGTTTACCAACATTCAGCTAATTACTTGCTTTTCAAGCCTGCCTTACTTCCTCCCTACCAGTACTTCTAACTCTTGAGTTTTTGAGGTGGCTTTACAGGATACATTTATTTTGTGTTGATTTTAGTTATTAACGTTCCACTCACTTTTTATCTGCCAAATTATTTTTACCTTCTTACTCACTGATATCTCCTATACCATTCTCTCATGGGGTGTTCTTGTAGGTCGATACCTTCCTCTTTCCTTTACTCTTCTTATTCTAGGGGGGGTTATAAGAAAAAGAGACCAACTAACAAATATGACTATTCTACTATATTTAGTCTCTGTAGTTATGTTTTAAAAGTACATGAAAAGTTTATCTAAGTCTATATAGAAGGTTGGTCTGTTAGTTGTTGGAGAACAATTTAATATAATTCAACATAAGATATTTTCTCCTAAAGCCGAGGTCGTAACTCAAAGGACTACAGGACTACTAACAAGTAATGTAAGTTGGGTGTAAGACAAGGCAGAGGTGGGAACAGGGGTGACTGGGAGGAGACCAAGAGACTTTCTGAAGGTCATGGTTAACTCTCTGAAGGTCATGGTTAACTCGGCTCCAACTGAACACAGACATTTGGACTTGATATTATCTGCTCTTCCAAAGTCCCTGGAAAACCCAGTAACTGATTTGCATTTGAATCTCCTGATATTCAGTTGGCAACTAAGGTAAAATTCCCATAGCCTACTCCTACACTTCATTTGGATCGTCCTCAGCCCTTTTTCCTGACCATACTTACCTAAAGCAGTCCCAGCCTTGCTCTTTGCTCGAGTCTTCAATACTTATGACTCTCTTGTTGTGTGTTTCATTGTGCTATCGAATAATGAAACATTCCTTAAAATGGTGTAGGGCAAAGGCTATCTCAACACCATCTCTACTTTGCAAACTCTAACCTGCTCCTACCATTCCCAAGTCCCTAGCTCACTGCACTAGATCTCATCTCTTAAAAGGATTTGTACGACCATTTTGAACTTGTCAGAGCCCTCTGTATTGTTAGATTTTTATATGCTTTCATTGCCCAACTAGAAGATAGGCATCTTAGGAGCCAGAGCTCAATTCTGCTCTGCCTTCCTTATACTTTACCCACAGGGGGAATTTAAAAACTACCTAATTTTCTCAGGCACATTAGCCAGTGAAACAAACAGGAGATGTGTATATGACATGAAGGTAAGAACTGGGAAAAGGTATTCAAAACTGCTTGGTATTAGGAGATATGCAGTTTATATTATGATAAATGATTTCTGGACCTCTTGCGCCTTGCTTCTGCCCTTAAAGCCAACACATATTTTGAGGTAGTAGGCCTTGATGGCTGATATAACACAAAAGTCAGCAAAAGCCTAATGCGTTTATGCTAAAAAGGTCTTTGTGATCTATGTCAAATACACTGATGATGTGATAAAGGGATTCAACTGCTGATGTGATAAAGGGATTCTACTGCTTGAAGCAGTGTCTTAGTGAAACAGATTAAAGCAGCTTAAAAATTATTACAGGTACACAAGGACTTCAGTTTCATTCTACATCAACAACCATTGATCCAAAACCAATGGAATACAATCAATGAAGGTGTGTTTTTAACTCCCTTGACCAACATGCTGCAAGTTTTTAAATGTAGGATTAAGAGTAAAGTGCTGACCCTGTCATTCCAAGGGAATTTCTGACATTGCAGCTATATATAAAGTTTTAAGTAATCACCACTGACAGTGAGGCAGGCTGGTCTTCTTTTCCTTTCCTGGCCATTATGATTCCCTTTGGCAGATGTAGAATGCTGTGTAGGTAGAGCGCCTGCAAACCTGTGGCTGAACCTGGAGGTGGGAACAAGGGGGGTGCAACCACTGTCTTCTGCAGGTATGGTACCTGGCCTCCCTGCATGACACCCAGGCACCTGGCCATGACAGATGTTTGGCCTCATCTTCTCACAGAGGGTGTTCTATAATTATCTTTTTAGTCCTAAGATGTCACCTGGTCCCTCTTCTGGCCCAGGACAGGTTACAGTAAAACTGATGCAAACAGCATTCTCAAGGTATCAATACCACAGATAACCCTTCAAGTGGGATGGATGGAACTTGAAGCCTTTTATATACTTCAGTTACTAAATTTAGTCCCTGAGGCCCAAGGCTACTAATCAGCTGAGAATAACATTTACTGGAATGTTTATAGGGATTTTTAGTTATCCTCATGAACCTCTCTGTGGACAGGTCAGTTGGCAAATGCAATGTAATACTTATTAAATAAATAAAATGCCTCAAACTAAGATTTTTCAGGCCCCACTGGAACAAAGTAAAATGGAGGAAAGGAGAGAAGCCATTTCCCTTGGATGGGGGCATTATGCTCAGGAGATCTTACCCATTCCTAATGTTCTTACTCCCTGACCCCTAAATGACATCCACATCTTTGCTTAACTTTAGCTTACATGGCTCTTCTCCCCACTGGACAGGATTGTATCTCACCCTTTTGTCTAATGGGGCCTCCTTTATGGGCATAAAGGTAACAAGTTTAAAATGAAACACTTCCTTCTCCTCAGCTCACACAGGTATGACTTCTAGCATTAAATGCCTATTGTTTACAATGTTTTTCCTACCCTTTTCTTTTCTTTTTTAAAGCGGTAGAGAGAGACAGAAAGGGAGAGAGCAGAGCTAAGTATTTTTGACAGGGTTTTGCTGTGTAATTACCCTGCCCCTGCCTCTCAGTTAGCTAGGCTCATAAGCACACACAACTAGGCCTGGTGTGTTCAGGTTAGTCTGGGGACTGAACCTAGGCTTTGCTTCCAACCTCCTAAGTGGTGGTGCCACCTGCATGCCACTGCAGGTAAAATAGCTGCAGTGGTATTTATAGCTGATTTTTATTGGTACAGTAACCATTTGAGCGCCCATCTGTGTTGAGCAGATAATAAAAAGGATGAGATACAATCCTGTCTGTCCAGTGGGGAGAAGAGCCATGTAAGACATAAGTACTGCAGAGGGGACGCCTGCTCCACCTTGTAGGAAGGTGACATCAGAGGAGGGGATACTGGGCTGTCTTCACAATGTTCTCCAGAATGTCTTACTAATTTTCCTTAGCTCCTCAACTAGAAAGGTCCTCAAGGCAAAACATTTTTCTTTTATGCTTGAATGCTTCCCATAACAAAAAATCAGGGCATTTAGTGTAGAGCCACTTGCAAACGCTTGATAATGCCTGGGCCAAGGAATCATTGACCCAAGCACCCAAGTAACAGGCCACAGTTGAATGGTGCCTATCTACCGGGCACCACCAGCAGTCTCTAGTTGCAAGCTGAGCTTCTCTCTATATACAGCTTTGCCCTCAGGAGGTCTTAAAGTAGTACAATCTCTTTCTTATTTTTAATTCTCAGAAAGACTTTCTCCACTGAGCCAACTATAGAGATAAATCCTATCAACCCTTTTCCAATTGCTAAATGTGGACAGTCCTGCTACTTCATCATCAAAAATGCACAGCACTTACCATTTGTCCCATTCTATTCCAAGTACTTTATATGTGGTTTAGGCATTTAACACTTCCCAGGAGTGGTGGCATAATCCTTATCTCCATTTTACAGATTAAAGGTAGGAAGTAGGAGAGTTTAGGTGACTTGCCCAAGGTTAGAGCTAGTTAAGGGTTAGTGAAGTCCAGAGTCTATGTTCTTAGTCATTCCACTGGTCCTTCAGACTTAGGATGGTAGTCATAATGTATTTGTCTTTTGCATTTACTATTGAGATGTAGAAGTACCAAAGGGGCATTTGCAAATACAAGAACAAAGTGCTCACTAAACTGTACCATTTATTTAGCTTTGCTCCCTCCCATCTAAGACCAAGCTGATCTCTAAACAAGCATCAAAACCCGAAGCTCATTAACATCAGTGTGAGCTTCAATAAGGTGAACACCACAATGATGTACAATTACTTTCTAATAATTCAATGCCCAAGAGCCCTGTAAAACAATTGCAAAGGCCCAGGATTATCATGGTATGCAAATGCACCAGGAAAATCATTACCTACTCAGTCCCCTTCATTTTGGTGGGTTTAACATGAGAAGAATAATACGTGCTACAAGACGAGATTTCATTTTACAGCTGTAGTAACCAAGTACATAAAAGCTTGAATCTGTCCCAATAGCTTCTACAAGATTTTTCCCATAGTGTGAGAGGCAAAAATAATGAAATCTTGCAAATGTACAGTTAATAGGACCCCGGTGGACACTAACTTCAAAAATGCATGGTCTATAAGACATTAAAGGCTTGATTTTAGTTTCTGCACTGTTCCTGTTAATAACAATGTCTAATTAAAACATCTGTAAAATACTGATAGTTTTAATTTTACATAAAATTTCCAAAACAACTGTTACACAGTATAATAGGTATCCGCAATGAATAGGTTATTAATGGAAATATTATTTTAAATTAAAATCAGGTTCTAAATTTAAATTAGTCATCTCTGGCTAATCAAGAGAAAAAGAAGTCACTCTTGCTGGGAATACAGTAGAAAATCTAGTTTTCAACATCTGTTAGAGCAAACTCACTAGGTCACTTGGGCTATTGGACAGTGCTTTCTACTCTTTCTGTCTTATACTCCACTTGGCACATCTGATGGATTTCACAGTTGAACTCAATATTAAAACCACAGTCGAATGCTTTCAATGTATTGCTTTATAATTTAAACACCAACATTCAGCGTATTCACAATCCCAATTCCCCCCTCCCAGTTTACCAGTGAGGAGTTAACGGAGCACTATTCCCTGTGGTAGCTTCTCCCTCCCAACCCTAACCTGATGAATATTTTAAAAGCAATGGCACAAAATCTCAGCTTTCCCTTTCTTTGGGTCTCATCTTCTTTTACAGAATAAAACAAAAGAGATTAGCAAGGTTTAGTAGCTGGCTGCAACTCAATACCTTTCTTTCTAATTAATGCACAATAAAAGAGAGCTAAAGCGTCATCAGCACCCAGTGGTATGTGTCTACTGATGCTGGCGTGGGCTGAGCTGGTAAGGGATTCCTTCCAGACAATGAAAAGCTGTGTCTCAAGTTGCTTCGGATTCACATAATGGTTCACAGTAGATGCTGCAGAATGTGGTCCACAGCATGAGGGAAGCTCTCGCAAGTTAAGTAAGGAGGTGGATTAATTTTTTCTTCATCTGCTGCTCGATACTTCCCTGAAATGAAAGTAAAGCCAGCGAGTGAGGGCTACCACTAGAATGTTAAATCCATCCCAAGTAGCTGGCTGCAACTCAATACCTTTCTTTCTAATTAATGCACAATAAAAGAGAGCTAAAGCGTCATCAGCACCCAGTGGTATGTGTCTACTGATGCTGGCGTGGGCTGAGCTGGTAAGGGATTCCTTCCAGACAATGAAAAGCTGTGTCTCAAGTTGCTTCGGATTCACATAATGGTTCACAGTAGATGCTGCAGAATGTGGTCCACAGCATGAGGGAAGCTCTCGCAAGTTAAGTAAGGAGGTGGATTAATTTTTTCTTCATCTGCTGCTCGATACTTCCCTGAAATGAAAGTAAAGCCAGCGAGTGAGGGCTACCACTAGAATGTTAAATCCATCCCACCCTGTGAGCTCTGGGCCATTACAGAACCACCTTTACTGCTGCCAGAGAATCAGGGCTCCACTTCTCCCAAAGCACTTTTTATTGAGGCTTCTGGATGCAGTGAAGCAATTCAGAGAAATGTCTTATTCTACATTTTCCTAGGCCCTCTAGTTTTTCACAATGAACAGTCACAGTTACTGAGTCACCTGATAGTTAAGGCTCCCTTCAAATCTCTACAGTTGTTGCAATCATGTCCTCTCCACCCTCTGCCCTAAAGATATAATGGGGGTTAAATCAATGCTTATTAAAATGGAAACCCAGATCCAGCTCCAAGAGACCTTGGAAATAGCATGTGCTGCTGCTAGGCTGGAACCCTGGAAGCCTGGCAGATGAGAACGTCTGGGAGAGGGAAGGTGATGGACGCTCCCAGGCCTGGAGCCAGGCAGGACAAACTGCACAGCAGGTGCCAAGTGGTAGGAACACACTGCCTAACTCCCTGACTCTGGAATTCAGAGTAGCCTGCTGTTTCTAGGGCCTGGCACATATTTTAACATCCAACACAACAGAAGAACCCTCCCCCACAGTGGTCACAGAGAGCTGATGTAAATCAGATGGTGCATGGCTCCTATTTATACACCTTTAGTGGGCCCCAAGGCCTTCAGAGAAGAATCTAAAAAAATCTATAGTTGCCTACCTGTTTTTACTAAGATGCCCAGCATGCCGACATCCTGAGCACCACCAACATCATCCCTGCAATCCTGAAAAAAACATAAAGAAAGCATTTAGTGACATGTGTACTCACTAGAGAGAGAGAGGGAGAGAGGGAGAGAGGGAGAGAGAGAGAGAGAGGAAGAGAGAGAGAGAGAGAGGAGAAAATACCTCCTTACACTGCAATCCCTTCTCTTCCATCTCTCTCTCCTTTCAGGAGTTTGAGCATGCATGCACACGTGTCCAGCATGATTCTCAAGCTGCCAGGTCTGGGACTTGAACTGCACAGTTGTCATTTAGGATCTGGATGTCCCAAACACCAGGCAATGGAGCCAGCTGCCAAACAATGGAGCCAGCAGTCAACTGATTAAGCTCAGATAGCCAACCATAATCTATATTTGTTTCTCAAAACAAAATAGAAGAAGATATAAGAAAGGGTGTATCTGCATGTAACACTCCAAGGGAGTGTAATATGTCTGAAAGGGAAACACTGGAGAAGTGGAAGGAGGTGGATTAAGTTTTTCTTCATCTGCTGCTCAATATTTCTCTGAAATGAAAATAAAGCCAGTGAGTGAGGGCTACCACTAGAATGCTAAATCCATCCCACCTCATGAGCTCCTGGGTCATCACAGAAGGTGTACAACACGGTTGTAATCCTAGTAACGAACATGGCCGGCAGAGTTTCGGTTCTCCATGCTTTGCACATATATATCTCCTCTTCTGACGGATCAAGTTAAAAAGTATGCTGTCCATTTGCCAGCTTTTAAAGTGAATAATCCAACTGAAGACAGCAAATGAAGTAGATTCAGAAGATAACTTGTCTGCAGCTCCTTAATATAGTTTCCTTACCTTCTATCCAATTGTTTCTTAATAGACAGAATTAAGTTAAATCAGAATAATTAATCAGGCTCTGTGACTGATGTTCACGTCATTCTTGAGAATAACGGATCAGTCTGAAAAGGGAGCTCTTCTTTCTTGCTTATGACAGGAATAAATACATTTGGTTGATTGTGATGATGAATGCAAGATGTTTAAAAATCCAAGGGCTGGAAGAAACATCAAGAAAACCAATCCTGCCATCTCATGTCTGTAAGGAGGATTCATTCAGATCGCACCCGAGGAAAAGTTTTTCCCCAAAATGATTGTTAATACTATTCAACAACAGCCCTTGGAAGTAAGTTTCAGAATGTCAAATCTTCATTTAAGGTCTAACTTAAAATCTTTTCTGCTATGGCTAAGCTTGCCCTCTTGAAGAAGGGGAGATAGGGGACAGTGAGAGGAGGAAGGGAGGCAGGAAAAAGTAGGCGAGGGAAAGTAGGGGAAAAAACACTCCTCTCTCAGATAACAACCTTTTATGCACCTACACACAGCTGCATGCCCTTCCTAACACCCATCCTGTCCTAGTTCTAGAATCTCTTGGGGTAAGGAATTCTAACGTCTCTAGGCTCGAATATTTATTTTTTCACACACATTTGTCTAGGAAAGTCAGCTGATGCCTAGAAGAAAAGGTGGAACTAAAAAGATGGTTTCTGAAATACTATCAAGTTCAATGATTATCCTATTCAATTTTAGGTGAATGATTATAGAAACAACAGATGAAATCAGGAGGCCTGATAACTTTCCACTAAGACAAGTTAAGGAATGGCATCCAGCTCTTCTTGTAAGAGGCCTGAGATGATCTTTGAAAATGGTTTACTATTCACTTGACCCAGAGAATCCCACAAAGTCATGCAAATCAAGAGGTTCAAATCTTTGTGTTCACTTTAAGAATACTCGTGAAATTGCCCAGGCCATCAAGGGTATGCATATCTGAAAAGCCACCAAGTAGCTGAAGGATGTCACTTTACAGAAGCAGTGTGTGGCATTTCATCATTGCAATGGTGGAGTTGGTAGATGTGCCCAGGCCAAATAGTGGGGCTAGACACAAGATCAGTGGCTCAAAGAGTGCTAAATTTTTGCTGCACATGCTTAAAAATGCAGAGTAATGCTGAACTTAAGGGGTTAGATGTAGATTCTCTTGTTATTGAGCATTTCAGGTGATCAAGGCACCCAAGATGCACCATCGTACGTACAGAGCTCATGGGCAGATTAACCCATACATGAGCTCCCCCTGCCACACCAAGATGATCCTCACTGAAAAGGAGCAAATTGTTCTTAAACCAGAAGAGGAAGTCATACAGAAGAAAAAGATATCCCAGAAGAAACAGAAGAAATAAAAACGTATGGGATGGGAATAAAGTCAGCATAAAATAAATGCAGATAAAAATTAAAAAAAAAAAAAGGAAGGGCGTCCAGAATTGTGGATTCTACTTCCTCACTACTGTGCCCCTAATTAGCCATGGGAATTTAGGCATGGAGATTACCTTTTTCAGATTCAGTTTCCCAGTCTATAAAATGGAAAGGTTTAGCCCAGAAAATGTAGATGGTCCCTTCTCGCCTGAGATTATATAAAAATTGAAGTCTAATCTTTGCTACCAACCTACCACAAGGCAGTATGCTTTCTAGCTCTTTTCCCATTGTAGTGCACATAGCAAAAACCATTTGCCCAGAACACAGGGATAAATCAATGACATGCTCATGGCCATAGGTAACCGGACAAGGCCTCTTACTGTCCCAGGCTCAGCCTCGCCACTCAACGGGATGAGGTGATCAGTATCTTTAGCTATTTGTGTACACTGATTGGGAAGTTCTTCCATAAAGTATATGCTAAGAAAAAAAATCAATACTGGTAGAATTCTTTTGGTATAAGTTGTTCTCTGCATAAGTAATATTCACAAAAATTTATTATTGTGTAGGGGTGTTCTTCAAAAAGACATAAGAAACATTTAATTGGTTTGGAAATATAAATGGTTTTCTGAATTGAATATATCCTATCATTCTGTGGAGAACCATCAAAAATAATGGAAATTTCAGTTCTTTAGGAGAGTACCACTGGGGCCAGCAGATGGCATAGCAGTTTCATCGTTGGACTTCCACCTGGTCAGTTCCGGTTTGAGACCCAGACCTGGTGGTTTCAAACTCACATGAGGCATGTTGTGTGTGCGTGCCCAAGATCCCGAGAGGAGAATGGAGGAGAAGGGATAACAGAGTGGCTATCCCCCTGGGAGGTGATTTCTTTCCCTCTTACTGTTTCTCTCTCTCTCCCTGGGGTGAGCACACATGCCCTAAAGCAAAAGCCTCTCAAAAAAAACCAAATATATATATATATTACTAAACTCCACCTGTACAGATAAAGACTTCCTACCACCTACATCACATGACAGAAAGTCTGCATCCCTAAAGCAGGGCTTCACAGCCAGTCCTCCCAGCATGCCAGTGAGCTCAGAGCATCCCAGGGCCTCTTCTACTTACATCTCCTATCATCACGGCCTCCTCGGGTTCACAGCCAGTGCCCCGCAATGCTTCCAAAAAGAATGTCTTCTCGGGTTTTCCCACTACTGTGGCTTTGGTGTCTGTGGCGTACTCTAAAGCAGTCACAAATGGCCCAGGCCCCAGGGCTAACCCATCTTTCCTCTTGTAATACCTGGCTTTGTGGATTGCTATCAGAGGTGCCCCATCCAGGAGTAACCTAGAGAGACCAAGAAAATGGATATTGGCAAAAAGCAAGGCTTTTATGACTGGGAAAGAATGTCAGACTTACAAGCAGTTTTATTCACACTCACAGAAACAAATAGTTTCTTATTAACTTTTAATGACTTGCTGTCTCCTAATGAATTCACAAAGAACTGCTGGGAATTACACTCAGATACACTAAAGAAAGGTGATAGATTATTAAATTTGGGATTGCTTCAACCTTTTACCTTTAGTGGTTTCAGACACTTTACCCAATTCACCAGG